TTTTTTTAATGGTAAAGTTACTTTATTCTAAAATCTTATACACTTTTACACTTCAACTTTCAATATAATAATTCCAATATAACACTGTTCCAAATAAATTTCCAATATTAATCAATAGCTCAATTTTATAGCTCTATCCTTCTTTCTTTCCTTATAGAGCAACCTTCTTAATAAAGTCAAAAGTCAAAATAAATAATCCAATTGGAAGCAAAAAAAAAATATTGAAGGATGCGAGGTTCGAACTCGCGCGGACAAACGTCCAGTAGATCTTAAGTCTACCGCCTTAGACCACTCGGCCAACCCTCCTGGATTTTAAATTTTTTTTCCTCTGAAATTTCTAGTCATCTTCACTACGGCTTTTTGCGCCCAAATTTCAATATTAGATGAACATAAACATTGCACTAGTACGATAAGAAATAAGGGATTACATATTGACTTACCTGGTGTACTTAATACACTATTTATACAATTATGCTAATACTAATTATCTAATCATATAGTATAAGGCGTAGCTAAGCTAATAATACAGCAGGCGCACTAATGGACGACGTACGTTTTCATCGACTATGATCTGATAGTTTCTTCACGAGCTAGAATAGGTGATATATACAAGCTAGGGTCGATGAAAAACCAATCATAGGTTCATACATGGATGAATTAAGACATCATTTTAATTCGTTATAAGTTAGGTTTCTATAAGCCTTCTTTTGTTCATTTCTTTCTTCAATGCTGCATATGAATCCTCAGCATATGGTATTCTATCAACCAAACTTTTCTGTATCGACAAAACGCCAATTCTATGCTTGTATTTTTTCATTTTGATTTTCTTTCGGTCTAAATCATCAATAAATAAGGCATCTCGTTGTTCTTTTGAGAAACCTAATTTTGCAGTAATCTCCTCGAATTGATCAGGAACTTTTTTGCTTAAATCTATAACATCAGAGTCTAGTCCCCATCTAAGCAAATCCATATCCAATTTCAACTGTGACTCTTCGGTGCTTAGATCAGGTTTCAGCTCAACATCTTTCTGATATATGAATTTTAATCTGGCCCGAGTACGACGTATCCAATATTCACCAGCAACATTTTGCTTCAGATCAAGCATCATTTTATGATATAAAATCCTGAGAACAGAGAGCTTTCCATCCCAATGACGAGCCCTTGAAACACTTTTCATAACTAGATTATATGTATCATAGTTTGGTTTGACTTTGTAGCGCTTTTTAAATGTGTTCATCGTTGCAACAACAAGATCAACACGCCCCGTATTAGAGAACGGTACCAGCAGCAAATTCATTTGATCAACATTCGGGTTGAAGCTGAACTCTTTCTTTGAATGATCTATGACTTTCCATGCGGAATATATTTGCTGTTCTTGAATCAATTTTTTAATCACCACGTTCAACAGGCTCACATCAACTGAAACATCAAACTCTTGTACCATTTTCAACAACTCACTAGATGTTGTCCCAGTTTGGTGTGATATATGTGTAAAGACAGCTTTAAGGAAGAAAGGATCAGCAGGTAAACATAATAATTTTCTGTTCTCTATCAATAACTTTTTACTTATATCATCCTTTAATAAGTTGAACATAATATTCCAAGTAACAAGGTCCGCTTCTATCCCATATTTTTTCATTTCAGTCAAATACTGTAGGGATATTTTGTATGGATCAGCAACATGCCTTATAGTTTGATGAGTTAAAAGATTTTTCAACATTAGGTTGAATGTTGTTGCGTTGGGTTTAACATTTTCAATTTTCATCTGTACCAGCAATTCACGACAAGTTGCGATATTCCATTTCTTTGAAAAATAAAAGATAACATCATTATATGAGTTCACTGTTCTAAGTGAAATAGTGTTTGAGTTTAATGGGTGGAAAAGGTTCTTCAAGATTTTGGGTATGATACCGTTGAATTTGGATGATTTTTTGTGGTGAAATGTGCTATGAGTTAAAAGATAGATGTATTCTTCAAACACTGATACATCATAAAAGTCTGGAACTGGTGGAATTTCAGTGTAGACATGACTGGGTGGTTTTTTCTTATATCTTTTTGATTCGTCATTAAGTGAAATCTTCGGAGCAGCTGTGGTTGGATCTGGAGGTGCTGGTGTGACAGCCACCAGCTTTTCAAGTATCAAACGGATATTCTCCTGCTCTAAATTAAACATCACAGTGGAAGAGTTCTCTAGTGACTTCAAATTTTTATTAAATATGTGCCTTTCCTGAGCCTCTTGTTTTTGGAAAAATTCGTCTGCTTCAATATTGGCTCTTTTCAAGTATGTTGACCCTAGAGGCTTCAAGTAAGACTCAACGCTTTTACGTTCAAACATTGATCCCTTCCCTATCTTTTCATGATAGTCATTTACCAGCTGTGCATCATTCTGTTTTGGTTTGGGTTCTGATAGTTGTAATTGATGTGATACCTCATTCACTAAGGCGATGGGTAAAAAATTTGTATTCTGGCCTCGAGGGTGTATCAATAAATTTTTATCTTTACAGATACGCACATAGTCTCTGAATGTCTTTAAAAGACTCATACCATGAACTATGCGATTCTGTTTGCAAGTTTGAAGAGTTGTCAATTGATTCTACGATCATTATGTTTTTTAAACTCCATGGAAAATAACTAGTAAGGGCAGCACAATTCCTACACTATGAAGAAAAAAAAAATCAAGAGTCTAAACATTAAATTCATAAATCATATTTTTGAGTCAGTTCTCATCTTAGATCACCGAGCCTGCTCGTCAAATCATCAGCAATTCCTGTACTGTTTTCAGAAAAAATATATCTTTTTCCCCCAACTATGGAAAGCAAAACAGGCAAAAACACCAAACTGTGTAGAGAAGCTATAACCACCAATGACAACCACATTCTAAAGTAATAAACTTCAAAAATCTTCGATTGAGTGAATGCAAGGACTATAACACCGATCAGCTTTGTTGTAGCGATACCACCAAAAACAGCACCACCAACTCCTGTGATAGCATTATAAGCTCTGAAATTAACATTCACCAATCTTGAATCTTTATCAGAAACTATGAAGGCCCTTGTTATATGAGCACAAAATTCAACAGCTAACCCAATACATATAACTAGATTCACCAAACTAACTGCATTTAAAGATATTGACCACAATGACATAGCACCTCCAATGTTAATTAAAATCATAGTTACGGTCAACAAAAGAACCAATGATGATCTAACAGATCCTAAAAGTAAAGTGGAGTTCAAGAAAATAATAGCAAGTGCAACAGAAATCAATGTAAATGTAAGCTTGATGATTGAAGAATATTGAACAAAAAAGATGTAAAATGGTGAGTATGCAAATATTTTGTCATGTTTCAAATAACCCTTCAATTCAGTTGTTATTCTTAAGGATTCTTCATAAGCAGTAATGAAATCATCTTGTGATCTCAATGGAGTATGACTTGTTCTGAAAACTGAAGAAAAGATGGTTTCATTGTCATAAGAGATGGAGGTGGAATATGGTGCTTGTCCACCTAAGGGACATGGATCACTAGGTGCATTAATCCAAATATCAAAATACTTCATAAAATCATCACCTTCTGGGAACCCATTCATAGAATAATCCCAGTCTTTATCCTCAAAGCAACTTCTGCACTGTCTTGAAGGTGCAAAAGGTGGACAAATATCATCAGAAGTCTTTCTCAAACGACAACACTCATCAAGAGCAGGGTTTAAAAATGTTAAATAATCATCAATCCAACTAGCAACAGGCTCTGCAATTGTAGAGACATTTTGACGTGTTCTTTCCTGCTCAAGAACGTTAGATAAAGAATATTGGTCACAGGTTGTAAATTTTCCGCAAAGTTTTTGTTGATTTTCCCTTATTGTGATATCTAAATCATCAACAATGTAATAAATTGGAGGACCAACATTGAGGTATTTGTAAACATCATTGTAATAATCAATAAGATATGAATCTGAAGGAATAGCAATTCTTTGGTCAAGACCAAGTTTGATGTTTGGCAAAATTGCCAATGAAATTGATGTCCATAGAATGAAAACAAACATGATTATTTTTTTTGATTTTAAAATAAGAGGTGCATAAAAATCTAAAACCCTATCGAAAAAATGTTGTTCATTTTCATTTTCAAACAATTCTGATACTTCATCTAATCTCACAGATCTTTGAATCTTAATACAAGGGAAAAAATCCAGTCTTGATTCATCAATTCTTAATTGGTCCAAACTCAAAAGAGAAATAAAAGCTGTCAATTGTAATATTGAGTTGAATAAAACAGCACCAGCAGAATATAAGGCGAAATTTCTAACAGCTGGCATTGAGACTGCTGATGCAAGAGCGAATGTTAAGAACTGACTAGTGGAGGACAATAAAATGGAAGGACCCATTCTACCAACTGCTTTTGAAATTCTGAAAGGAATACTTTCATTTGGATATGCATAATTGATCCCTTTCAATTCATGGGTAATCAAGAAGATGTTATCAACACCAACAGCAAGAATTAAAAATGGAATAACTTCAGCTATAATTAGTGTTGATTTCACACCAACCAAAGAGAAGAACCCTGCAGATGAGCTCACAGATAAGAGCACAATAACAATTCCAGATAACCCTAATGAGAATCTTGTTTTTAAGATGTTGAATGTCCCTCCCAAAGACAATGATGCATAAAGGAACATCACAATGTATGATATGACAACGATTTTAACATCTGTATTTGTTGACTTGTTGAGTTCTGTTTCAAGTGATGGTTCAGTATTAAAACTAATTCTGACACCTTTAGGAGGTTCAAGATTCAATAAATAGTTTCTCATAGAGTTTTCCCATTTTGTAGCATTTTCTTGGATGCCCTCATTATTATTCAACAAAAATGTTACAACAATTGCCTTTGCACTTAAAACATCTTCACCCTCATAACCACCGAATAGTAACTCTTTTTTCAAAGGCTGTTGGAAAGTTGGCAAACAATTAACAGGAGAAGAAGTACACTCTTGAAGCTTTGATTTCCAATTTCTTGGGATTTGATCATTGAAGTATTGGGTAAAAGATTCAAGAACACATGTTGATTCTTCAGTAGGTCTGAAGCATAGATCTTCATATGTTATATCATCAACGATGATACTTCTCAACTCAAGCTCGGTCTTTGCCCACCAATGGACAGTTTCCGTGTTCAATACACCATCTTTCTCATTCACAATGTAAATCTGTTCTGTACGATAAAAAGGTCCAAATTTTTCATCAAAATATTGCTTCTGCTTAAAAGCTTCAGCGCCACTGCTGACCCATAAATTGACAGGATCTTTCTCCAACTGACCAAAGAAATAAACACACGATGAAAGTGGAATTGTGATCATTAAAGTAATTGAAAGTATAGTAGCAGGGTAGCTTGAACAATAAAAGGCAAGCTTACTAAAACATTTCTCAAAAAATGTGTTTAAAGAGTAAACTTCATTCTTTACAGCAATTTCTGGCAAATCATTGGTACTAGCTCTCAGGTATGGTGATTCTTGAAGTAATTGTAGTTTTTTAGTTTTGAATCTATGGCCATAAATCCCAATAAAGAAAATTAAAGCAAATGCATAAATGATCAACACTGAGAATGAGAAACAAGGTAATACACCAACCTTGCAAGCTTTGTGACTAAATTTATCAAGAGTTGGACAAATATCAGGACAGTCTGAACACGAGCATTTATATTTTGAATCATTGCAGCCAAATACCTCTTTATTCAAATAGTTTGGATTTGAACTGTCATTGTTGTATTGGAAATCCATTTGAAAAGGCGACCCCCCTAATAGAGGCTTTTCATCACCTAAAAACTTCAAAAACTCTTTGTAATTCTTAGCACCACCACCAATAAGATCCATTGCAAAACCGTTAGTTGCTGAGAACTTGATATTCTTACAAGAGTCATAGATCCCTGAAGCCATCTCATCATTGATGAAAAGGTCAAGCTCAGTGACAATCTGTTTATTATCCATTGACCTAGCTGTTTTGGTGACATTAACAAATGTAGATTGATTCGGCGAGCAGGTGAATTGACAAAACATATTTCTGAAATTCTTTTGGCATGCTGGACATGATGATATTAACGAATCTGCCTTCTTCAACTTCTCCTTCAATTCAGATATCTGATCACTCGTACAGCAGAGTTTTGATTCTTCTCTCCATTCTTCACCACAAAGAGCAGAAAGCTCTGAAATTTGCTCATCCGTAGCTGGAATAGCTTCTTCATTGAAAGGACAAGGTAATTCTGAGCCAAAGAGTGATTTCTTACCACAAGTATCATATATTGCACAGTATCCCTCCTTCTGCGTTATTGCCCCTGTTCCTATCAGCGATAACAGCAAAGAGCACACAAAAGTTATCAGCAGCATCTTGAAACCGCTTCAATTTCTAATGACTTTAGACACAATACAATGCTTCTTTTGTCTATTGTACTGTTCTTTGGAATTGATTGCTCTGTTGTTGAACGAGAGAGGGCTTGTGGCTCCTTACATTTGTAGAGACCATTTTTGTCAAAATTAAATTTAAAAAAAAAAACATCAACAAAACATTTAAAACGCGTGTTATTGTTGACTTTTTGTTCTTAAAGTCTTCTTCAACAAGCTCAATTGCAATGCTATCAGATGCTACTGTCCAGAGGGTAGATCTCCAGGGATACTCCGAGAGCATTCGCTGGTCGGATGATGGTTCCTTAGCTGTCAATACTACTGGCTCCTTGACAATTCTCAAACCAAGATACCAGAGTGGTGCTTTGAAATCAGCCAATGAATTGTTTGAGATAGAAAAGCTTGAAATAGAAAGCTGGCCAAGAAATGGGCTATATAAGAATCAACCAGCTGATGAAGTGGTTTCAACAAATTTCTCGAGCACCGATGATTTTGTAACGAAATTGTTATGGTCGCCATTAACTCAAAACAGGCAATCATTTCTCGCGGTTTTAACAGCTTCTAAAAGTGTTAATATTTTGGAAAATGGTAAAGTTAAGACTATGATTGGTGAATATGCAACTTTCAAGACTCAAAAAGAAATGGATGACGCTGTTACTTATAGTTTTGTTTGGTATAAAAAAGATCAAGATTTATATTTCATCACAGGACAGGCGTCAGGAAATTTGAAATTCTATAAGTTTGATGATGATGAATTTAAATTTTTGCAAGGGATATCTTTACCATCAAGTTCACCAATAGTCAAATTAAAAGTGGACTCGGGTGTATTGGTTGCTGTTAGCGCTGATAATGAAATAATACAAGTGAATGACTTATTGAGTGAAAAGGATCAAGAAATCAAGATTCTTAAATCAAAAGACAGGTTTTCAGTTTATGATATTTTTTTGACACAAGAATTTGTTGTTTTCACAAGTCCGGCAAAATTCCAGAAAATTGACTTAAAGACAGGTTCCATATACGAAGTCATTACAAACATCTATGATTCATCTATAATTATACCTAACGGTTCCAGCTTCATACTGATTTCCAATACAACCACTGTCAAAGTTGATCAAAACTTGAAAGTTCAAGCAGATGACAAGGTGCACCCGGTCAAAATCAAACGTCTGAAGCGATGGAATTCAAGGATTGATAGTTTCAGATTGAAAAGCAACACAATCAAAATCTACGGAGCAGATTACAATTTCAGTGGTGATGTTTTAGCGATTCTTTATGAGATTGAAGATCAGTCAGGATTCAAGTACAAAATTTCCTCAGAGAATAAATACAATATAGCATTTCTTTCCCTAGATAACAAATTTGATAATGTTGGTTCCTCATTAGCTATTTATCAAGAATTTATGTTGACTGGTAAGATCCCACCAACAACGATTGAAAATTTATCAAAACCCACACCGAAAGGACAAGATTTCAAGGATTATCTAAAATCGAACGTTTTGAAAGATGCTGAAATTCTCAAGTTAATTGCAAATAACATCATATCAAGAGATAAAGATGCTGAAATAAGAGCTAGATATTCTCAACTACTACTTGAATTTGTGAAACAAAATGAAGTGCCTCTTGAAAATTCACTTGATCGAGTCACTTACAATTATATTGTCAATGCTGTCAATGGAAATTCCAATGAAGAGTCTCAAGAATTCAAAGTTGTCACTGATATATTGGAAGAGACTTTTAAAACTGACAAAAACAACAATCCAGATGCTCTTGTTTCAGAATCTGGTCACGCATGGAATAGATGTGCCTTAACATTCTTACCAATTGTATCAACAAATGTTAAAGTTGATCCAGTTACACAAAAGAGAATTATTGATATATCGAAAGATGAATTGAATGAGTACGGATATTTCACAAGGACAATATTAGAGACTCTGAATAAAGTGAGCATATACAGTGGTTGTAGGTTTGGATCAAAACCATAATTTTCAAAAGAATGATTTTCAAGGGTATCCAAAAGTTCTAGCTAACAAGGCCAAAAAGAATGTTGAGATCAAAATTTCCACATTGATTTTATTATAGTCAAAAAGGATTGAATAACCACAAACTTTATCAAAGCTTTTCAAAGTTGCAACTCTTTCATGAAATGTTATACCGTGATCCTTTGTGTTCTTTGGTGCATTTGTTAGGATTTCAAAATGATCTGGACCAATCCATTGAAGCTTCAGAGTTGACCCAAATTGGAAGATTGACTTTCTGGTTTTTTGATACGGTAGTATCCAATTTGGCAAATCCATTTTAATCACAGATGGTGTGGTTGCTAGTGGGGAATTTTGGTCGCCGTTAAATAGGTAAGGACTTCTATGCATAACAATATACTTATCTCTCAAGTCATTTTTAATAGTCGATAATGTTTGTCCAAAAGCTGTTTGCAAGTGCCATGTAGAATCAGATTTTACCAACGCATAAATCTTCCTCCCTTTGGTATTTTTGATAATCCAAGCCTTTTTGCTTTTTCTGATGATGTTGATTTCATTGACACTCTCTGGTAAAGGAATGATTTGGTTGATTTCTGAGTCCTTTCTAATATGGTGTCTCCAGAGTCTTGCTGCTCCAGCAGAGGCAATTGCAACTAGAGTGAAGCCAACGATAACGTATTCAGCCATGTTGAGGCTCTTTGTTGAGGCTACAATATCTCATTTATCGTTGGAATTTACCTTCAGGTCTTTAATGGATATGTTATAGCTGCGACGGTTGACACAAAAACAAGCTGCTACAAAACATGACACTTAGTAGGCCAATGCGCCGATAACATTACAAATAGCGAATAACATTAAAACAAATCACTTTCAAGAATTCAAAAGTATCAGCCCTTAATGTCTTTCAGCATCAGTAGTCATCGTGGTCTGCTAATCTATATTTCGAAAGCTTCTCTTCGTTGAAGCGACACGAAAAAAAAAGTCTTCAACCGCGACAATAGTCAAATGAATCAAACAAACTCTTCATCATCAGCCGCCAAAAGAGACTTAAGCCAAAGTATGAACGATGGAAAATGAGGACACTGAGGCCAACAAGAAGAAATTTTACCATCCGTATGATCCTTATGACATCCAGATCGACTTCATGAAGGCTCTCAATGAGACTCTCACCGGTGGCTACAAGATTGGTATATTTGAAAGTCCAACAGGAACAGGGAAGACTTTATCTCTTATTTGTTCAACGATGAGCTGGTTAAGATCAAGAAGGACGGAAAGTGAAGAGGCCAATGATGAGGATGATGATGATGAACCGGCTTGGATCAAAGAATCTTACTCAAATCTTTTATCAAAGAAGAACAATGATGCAGCTCAAGCTTATGAAGCCCATTTAACTGAAATTGCAAACAACAGCAAAATACGACAAGTTCAAGTATTGAAAGAATCAAACAAAAAGTGTAAGAGGTTCAAAAAGATAGATGCTGAGGTACAAGAGGAGGATAGCTTTCTACCAAATGACTATAATTCTGATGGTGATGATGAACTCAATTCGCAAAGGGCTGAAAATCTGAAGGAGAAAAATGATGCTTTGAATTCTGAAATTCAAAAACTATTGAAAAACATAGATAGAAAGGATAAGGATGAAGCTGAAGGTTTATCAAAAGATGTGAAAATCTTTTTTTCTTCACGTACACATTCCCAATTGAATCAGTTTTCTTCTCAACTGAGATTACCCAATTTCCCTTCTCTAGTTGATCATCAGGAAGAACACTTGAAATATCTGCCTTTGGGTTCTAGAAAACAATTGTGTATTCATGAAAAAGTGTCCCAATTGAAGGATGTCTCGCTTTTGAATGAAGCTTGCTTAGATATGCAAAAACAAGATTCAAAGAAAAAGTGTGATTTTTACTTTACCCAAAAAGATATGGAAAAGCAAGATCGAGCTATTGAATTTAGAGATACTCTATTTTCGAAAATTCATGACATTGAGGATTTGAACACAATTGGAAAAGATTTTGGTGTTTGTCCCTATTATTCTGTCAGAAAAGGAATCCCAATAGCAGAAGTTGTCACACTACCCTATCAATTGCTGTTACAAAAGTCATCAAGAGAAGCATTGAAGATATCAATCAAAGATTGCGTTGTTGTTATCGATGAAGCCCATAATCTCTTGGATACTATCATATCACTTCATTCAGTCTCGGTTAGCATCGATGATTTCACAGTTTGCAAACAGGCACTCAAGAAATACTTGTCTAAATTTTCAAGAAAACTAAATGGAGGTAATAGAATCAACATTATGAAGCTAGTGAAGATCATAGATATCTTTTTGAAATACGTTGAATCATGTGGGAAAAAATCACCTGGTAAAGAAATCAATCTATTGGATGTTTTCCAAGGTACCACTGGTGATTTACTCAACATTAAGAAACTTGAGAAATATTTGACCGTTTCAAAGATTGCATTCAAGATTGAATCATATATGGAGAAGGAAAATCAGTCATCAACACCAACACTTTTCAAAGTTGTGGAATTTCTCAAAGCTGTTTCAAATCCTTCCAGGGAAGGTAAATTTTTCTTTGACTTGAAGAATCATGTTACATCACTAAATTACATGCTATTGGACCCATCCGAAGTATTTAAAGAGATTGTTGAGGATGCTAGATGTGTTGTATTAGCTGGTGGTACAATGGAGCCAATTGATGATTATACAAATTACTTGTTTCCATATATTGATGAATCGAAAATTAAGAAATTCACTTGTGGCCACGTTATCCCTAAAGAAAACCTTGATGTTTTCGTTGTAGGGGGTAAAACCAGAGAATTTGATTTCTCATTTGATAAAAGAAATGATTCTGTGATGATTAAAGATTTAGGAAGTGCTATCCTTTCACTGATAAAAACAATTCCTGCTGGTGTGGTTATTTTTTTCCCTAGTTACAAGTTTCTGAGTGATATAGTCAATGTTTGGAAAAGCTGTTCTGTATGGGATGACTTGAACAACGTAAAACAAGTCTTTAGTGAGTCTTCATCCAACAATATTCTTGTTGACTACAGTCTTGCTATTTCACAAGGGAAAGGTGCTGTTTTACTTTCAGTGGTAGGGGGAAGGTTATCGGAAGGGATCAATTTCTCTGATGATCTTGCAAGAGCCGTGATGATGGTTGGACTCCCTTTCCCAAACGTGTTTTCAGGTGAATTAATTTCGAGAAGGAAGTACATTGAAGAACAAGTCTGGTCTAAAACTGGAAATAGAAATCTAGCACAGGAGGCAACAAAAGTGTTTTATGAAAATATATGTATGAGAGCAGTCAATCAAAGTGTTGGAAGATCTATAAGACATAAAGGTGATTATTCTACCATATACTTCTTTGATAAAAGATACCATACATCAAGAATCAAGCTTAAGTTGAGCAATTGGATCAAAGAAAGAATAAATGACTCGGTATCGTTTGATCAAGTGGTATTGAAGACTGTGGACTTTTTCCAAAATCGGAACTGAAATTTACAAAGTGTTTAAACTTTACAATTAGCTATAGTAAATATTTATTAATGTATGAGCGGCGGTAATATCCGAAGACCAACTCCGGGTAAAAATCTCAATTTCGAAATTTCGAATCTTCAAAAAAAATATTTGTTTACATTTTGAAAGGACAGTATAAGTTTCGCTAACAACAACTTAAGAAGTTTGATTCAATTCTTCAATTTTGAATAATGACAAAGGAGGCAGAGACAACCTTTGCACCAGTCTCAAACGGTAAACGTTTATTGAATGAGTTGCTTGAATCAAGTCGCAACTTACCAAACAGGGACTCTGATTTAGGATCAATTCAGTTAGGTATTAATGAACTCAGAAAGAAAGCTCATGAGTTGCGCAAAAACAAAGTGGAGGTTCAACAAGGAGACCACTTTACAAAGGCTCACTACTTATTAGCTGGTAAAGTCTCAATTGATGATGTTGCCTCAAGTATCAAACTTTTGGAGAGCAATAATGTTCTTGAACCAAGATCAAAGACTAGCACTCAACAAGGTGATTTGGACAGCTATCTCAGATCTAAAAAGGATGAAAATATTTTGTCTGCTATTGAACAATCTTTAAGTTCTGCTGCTAGGGATTTTGACAATTTTGTTAATCAAAATATATCTTTAGATTGGAAACAACGCAGGGATGAAATTAGAGAGTCATTTGGTATTGTTTTGAACAGACAAACCGCACATACAGATTCAAAAGCTGCTAAATCTAACGGCGCAGATTCAAAAAGCATTAGTTGGGGGAAATCACTCAAACTTTTGGAAGACAATTCTTCAAAACTCAATGTCAACGCCAATTATTTAACACGTCGCAAGTTCGAACGTTATGCTAAGGTAATCAATGAGCTAAACAACACTAGACAATCATCACCAAACATTGATAATGAGGATGCGGAGTTTGATTTGGCAAATGAGTTTATAAATATATATCAAAATGGATCGGACTCAAAATCTAGACAACTCTTGGAAAGCTGGCAAATCATTGCAAATATGAAGAAAGGTTCTCGCAAGGGTATTGATTCAAAAGGTTTCAAAAATCAAATTGTTTCAAAGTCTAAAACATTTTTAGAGCTACAATTTTTCGAATATGCTGATTCTATTTACAGAAAAAAAGTTTCAGAAAAAGGCTTGCCAACTATAATCAATAAAATCAAGTCTTTTATAGATTCGCAGAAACTAAATGCAAATGGGAACTTATTGATGGTCAATGGTACACCAATCTGGGCATTAGTCTTTTACCTCTTGAGAGCTGGTTGTCAAGAAGAGGCATTGAATTTAGTTTTAGAACATCAGGCTGTGTTCAAAAAAGTTGAGCAATCCTTTGTCCCATACTTCAAGGCTTACGTGAACTCGCCGGATAAAAGATTACCACAACCATTAGTTACAAAAATTCAAAATGAATTTAATCACCATATCAAAAACTCTATTGATGGTGATCCATATAGGTATGCTGTTTATAAAATTTTGGGAAGATGCCAATTATCAAGAAGAAATATTTCCAATATCGCATTAACAATCGAAGACTGGCTATGGATACATTTGATGCTTGTTAGAGAAGATTCACAAGTTGAGTATGACCCAGCATATGAAAAATACTCATTGGCTGATTTCCAAGAGATAATTTTGTCGTACGGTGTTAATAAATTTAGCACGAATTACTTGCAGGTCTTATTATTGAGTGGTTTGTATGATCAAGCAGGGAAATATGCGCTAGAAATCAATGAAATAGATGGTGTTCATCTAACAATAGGTCTTGCAGCTTATGGTCTTCTACAACAAAGTACTCAGGATACTGTTAATTCATCAAAGGGGTCTCATTTCAGTAAAATTCTGGGCTCATATATTCAAAGCTTCAAACTGTCAGATCCAAGAATTGCTGTTGAATATTTGATTTTAATTTGTTTGTTCCCAGATCAAACAGAAACATGTCATGAGGCATTGAGAGAGTTGGTGTTAGAGACTAGGGAGTTTTCTATTCTACTTGGTAAAGTCAATGCTGCAGGAGTTAGGGTTCCAGGTAAAATTGAACAAAGAAAGTCTTTGATCGCTTTAGAAAATGATTTCCTAAATAAAATCACAGAACAAGCTGCTATAACTGCTGACAAAGAAGGCAGAATTTATGATGGATTGTTACTTTATCAATTATCTGAAGAATATGAAATTGTTGTATCAATTGTTAATAGGTTACTAGGAGAATTTTTAAGTAACACGGAATTGGAACAAAGCTTAGTTGATGGTAATAGTGAAACAAATCCAATTTTGATCGCAGAGAATTTCTTGAGTTTATACCAGGACATTTCAGTGAAAAATAAGGAAATCTGCAAAAAACTCTTGAGGATTGCAGAAATTAGACAAATATACTTAGAAAAAGATTGGGATTTATGTTTGAAAAACATTGAAGAACTGGACATCCTACCTGTTAATGCAAATACAGATTTAGGATCTACAAGACTAAAAGCTGAAGAATTGGCTTATTTGAATGAAAGTTTGTTGAGAAATGTTCCTAATTTGTTGATAATTACAATGACTTGTGTCGCTCATAAGAATGAGCAAATCAACAACAGTGCATTCAACGGGTCTATAAAGGAAGAAAAATTGAAGGAGCTAAGACTTATTGCTAAAAATTGTGTTGTTTTTGCAGGTATGGTTCAATATAAAATGCCTAGAGAAACATTCAGTTTGTTGATTGGTTTAGAAGCTTTGTTATAGAATACTTTGAACTTTGAGCATAAAATCACTAATCATAATTTTAGTTGATTAATATATCTATGTAATGAATGTTGCTTTGTGTATTACTGTTTTGTATCCATGTCCTTATCAGTAGAGTTTTTCCCACTGTCTTCTTTTCCTTTATCCTTATGGTTATGATTTTTTTTTGTGTAGTCTGGTTGAACTTCATATGAGTTGGGGCTAGGTAGTTTCTTTGTAGACCTCTTTTTTCTTTTCTCCCTCTTATCTTTTCCTTTCTTATTTGATTTGCTAGGGTCAGAGTCTGAATCACTTTCTGATGATGAGGAAGATGATGATGAAGAAGAGGAGCAACTGCATTCTTCATCTGATTCACCAAACTCTCGTTGTGGATGGAAAATACAACAGACTTCAACCAATTTTGTTAGTAGCCGTCCAAACTGAATTTGCAAGTAAATGAATACATACTCTTTGATTTCTTTTTGTCCATATGCTCATTATCAATAGTGCCTTCTTCCCATCTAACTCTAGGTCTCCTTGTGGAACTTCCCCTTAAATGAAGTGCATTGTTCGTATCTGCCTCCTGACCTTGTAAAATTGTTGTGGATCTTTGCTCTTGGCTCGACATGATGGGATTTGATTACAATACTGGTTGTTGGTTTGACTGAATACTCATCAATAATGTTAGGCAAGTTAGTGCTTTTGTCAGGTCATTAGTCAAAAAAAAACTAATTCGCGAGCCATGATAGGGGCACTCGCATCATACACTTTACATCCCACAAAAGAATAATGAAGCTACAAAATGTCAATTTTCATGAAATCTTTTATTGATGGTGTGCATCATTCAAGATAAAAACAATTTAATAAGATTCATCTCCAAAAAGAACTAAATTGGAGGCCGGCGTGAGAAGACGAATAGAGCAAAAAAAAGGCAGAACTCTCATGAAATTGATCATGGAGATGGGATGTTAGTGGTATCTTTACCTATGTTAATACCTTCATAGCTGATCCCTGAAAATTTTAATTCTGGAATTTGTAATTCACACTGAGGATTAACATCAACACCATGGAAATTCCATTCAGAGTCCTCATATTTATAATACAATTGCTGTAAAGTGTCTCTTGACTGTTCAGAATCAAAGTAATTGAAAGGAGTGAAAATAATACTTGATTCAGCTGTTGTGAAGATAGTGTTTGGCAGGTCCTGAGTGTTAGGCAAATGGTGCAAAGCCAAGTTAAACCAACAAACCAAGTCTTCACCATCAATACTTTCACCATCAACATAACTACCAAAGTTAACAATAGGATCTTGTAAATCTTGAGCATCAAGGACATGTGAAGAAAAGACTTCATGATCTTTTTGTTTAGTAAACGTTAAGTCATGATTGGCCCATTCAGCATTGATACCAATGGTTTTAGTATTTTGGGCAATTCTTCTAGCATCACCACCTGGGTAAATAACTCTATAGGCTTTTGGATTACCCCAAGTGTTGTTTTGTTCATCAGATTCAATCAGCAAAACACCACCAGCCTCAGCCCAGTTCAAATAAGTTTCTTCCTCAATAATAGATCTTTCTTTAATCTTGGTTGAATAAACATTTTCTGGATCCCAAGGGAAAGTGTAATTGGTGGCTTTCAAAGCGGTGTTGGTAACTCTGTTTTTTTGACCTGCAATATCAAAATCAGCCTTGAAGTTCAACACATGATCATGGAATGAACCCGATAAAGCCTGGTTAATTCTGTAACCAAATGGAGATCCAGTTTCCTCACTGTAATAGGCACCTTGAATATACCCAGCAGCTCTAACAGACACTTCAAAAGTACCATCTAAGTAGAACTTGTACAAAAAATTGTAATCATAATTTCCAATAGTACTAATAGTTCTCAGATTGAAAGTTGGATTTTTTGTAACACTGGCATAATCAGAGGCAGTATGTCTAGCAAATGGATAATCTTCAGCAAATTCAAAAGCACAATATGAGTTGTTGTGATAGTTGTTTTCGCCCTTTGAGTGCCAAGTAACATTAAACATTTCGGCATTATATGGACAGTCAAATCCTGGCAACAAACCGAAAGCATTGTTACCAAACCCATATGATCTATCAAAATAAGTTGTATGTGCTTGATATGGATCGTCACCTGCGTATTCGGCAATAGCTTCTTGCAAACCAAATTCAAATGCAATTCTTTGACCTTTAAATTTCAAGTCATATAAAGTAATACCAACATCTCTTGACCAAGCGACATAAAATTCCCAATCCATCCAAGTGAAATATCTTTGCTCTTCACTAAACTTCCATCTTCTACCTTGTGGCTCAACAGAAATTGGTGCTAATTTTTCATCCAACTGTCTCGTGGCACCTTGTTGACCAACAAAGATAAAAGAATCTGTAGTATTCATTTTGGATGAATTGACTTTTGGTAGTTTAACAAACGATTTGGATTCCCATGCTTTTCTGAATTCTTCATTTGAATTATAGACAATGTTGTTGTAAACCCATTTAGTGACAAAATATTCTGAAGAGTTTCTACCTGTGATATCAACATTAAGAAAGACACCACTTGGAGTAATATCACCAGCACCTTGATAATTAAGAAAAACAGTAGCCCAACTAGTAGTTCTTCCAGTCTCCTTGTTATACTCATACGGATCAGTAGCCCAACATTCAATTGGTGCACCTTCTTGACCATACAATTTCATTTCTTCACCAATTAAATCAACCAAGACCGGTAACATTGAATCTGAAAGGAATACTTGGTTGAAAACTAGTTGCGCATCAGCCCATCTAAATTTATCCTTATAACCAACTTCATAAGCAACTTTTGACTTGGTGTACAAGTATTCCAGATCTTTGATAGCAGGGGTGGCATTGGTATTCAATGGACCAATTTGTAATTCTTTCCAGAAACCATTAGGATATTTCTCACTTGTATGTTCTTCAGCACCGAAAAACAGCGAAGCCCGAGCCCATCTTTCAGGTAATGGACCTTCATGATCTAAATAGGCAACTGCATCGGTCTTGTTTGGACGCAAAGCTTCAATCCACATTATATAGTTATCATAAGGAGTAGCATTTTCCAGCTGAGTCAAATTGTAAACATCATTCAACAAATCAAACACAATTTGAGCCTCAGCAGTGTCTAAATCAGCCCAGATGTTTTTCTTAGGGGCAATAGCTTCTTGAGGAAAAGATGGTGAACAAGCAGTATCCCTTCTAGCAAATGATGACGGATTCCTTTTAGCTAACAGGCGCTGATAGTAATCTGGCCTGGATTGTCTTGGAGAAGCAGCCTCCACAATAGTTGTAACGGCAGCCAAGATACAAGCAATATCTTTGAGCAAATGCATCTTGAGAGGTTAAGCTTTTTATTCTTACTGATCAGCCATTCATTTTGTAACTTTCCTTGAGAAACCTGACTATTTATACCTTTTTTAATATCATTTCCACACACACACACTTATTCACTACCATCGAGTCTCCATAAAATCGATTTCTAAATCTTTCCGTTCTCGATCGAGGAGCTTACTTATCTTTGGGAATTAAGAAAACTCCGTTATCAACGTCCAAAGTGCGCCCCGATTGGGAAACCTCCACATCCGTTTCAAAATTTTTCAACTAAACTCAACAAAAAAAGCGTATCCATTGGTTGATTTTCTTCCTGCAAAGTTTAATCTGTATTTTAAATCACAAATTCCAAAGCAGTACATGTCTTATCTGCCAGGTTTGCAATTTTTTTGGTTCCATGGTTATCAAGATTTGAAAGACGTTGCTGCATCGGTATTATTTTTTAGTCATTATTGACTCAGCTGGCACACCTTTCAAGAGCTGAACTTTGACAGTAGAAGATAACGTCTAACAGATTAGTTTTTGCGATTGGTTTACTTGCAGCTTGAAGCACCCTATTACCTGTTACAGCAATTCCCAAAGAAGTCTAAATTTTTGGATAACTGCATAGTTTTAATGTCTGACCGGCTTACTGATCTTTAGTCAACTGAATTGATTAGAAATGGAAACATAGTTGAAAATTGAGACTTGAATTTTAATTCTTATGATCTTCGTAGATTTGTCCAATCATCGGCTGCATACTTGATTGATTTAACTGATATAAGATAAGATGAGTGATTGATCTAAATAGGCATCCAATGTTGTTCAAGGGAAAATTTTAATCTAATCAATACGGTAGACTGTATGGTGATTAATGGAATGCAACATCATTTACCAAGACCTATAGCCTGTAACAATAAACCGATTAAAGCCTAACAAATTCTTCAAGGTGAGCCATAGTAAATATCAATCTCTTAAAGACTGGTTTCTGTCATACATAAATAATTGTAAAGAGCCTAGCCGAAACTGGGGTTTGTACCAATGAGGAAAATTGCAATGCCATTTGTACCTCTTGATTGGATATCAGCAGAGTAAAACCACGGTCCACTTACCCACATGACATGGGATTGTTTATCAGGCTTCAGCCAATCATTTCTTTTCGAAATAAAAGAATCAAAGGGGTAGACAAACAGTTGCAGAAATCCTGGAATCTAACAGTATAGTCATAACTTGATTGGTTTGGAGACTTAGGAATAGCAGCTTAATGTTAGCTTTTTAAGCATCAAGATTCAAGATCCATAGTCATGTGGTAACCCTTTTACTGACTTCATATTGTGACAATGAAATCTGAATATTGAAGTTGTGACCAAGAACAGCCAGCTGGAACAGATAGTGGCAAGTTTGGCATATTAAATTCCTCACTATTCATCCTTTATTCTTTATTCTTCACTCATTGTAGGTACTGAAGCTTCCCAGCAGAGTTTGCCAAACGATTTTTGCTCGAATGATGACATAATCTCAATCCTGCCAGTTTGAAGCGTGCCAATTGCTGAGCCCGTCTAAATCCCGTCTTCCACAAAACAAATGCAACCTTAAGACAATAACTTTGAGGTCCATTATGTTATACAAATATCCACTATCCAGTGGTGCTAACGGGTGGATCCGGTCTATAATATGATACCAAATTCAGGCGGGAAGATTACAGAGGGGGAATGGAATCCCATGTAATTGTAATTTAAAATAATTTAGTAGACAACTGGTTTTGAGAATAAAACTTTGTTATACAAGTAGGCACTTGCAAAAACTCTACAGTACCAATCTATTACAGAAATACATTAAAAGCTGGCTATGAGAGTTTTACTGGTTGCTGTCAAGTTTCAGGGCCTTGGATCGTGGGAACTATCTGCTATCTGGCGAGTTTGACACTGTTACGGAATTGTTATTTTGTATACTTGTCTTTGATTCTTGTAGCATTCAGACCCCAGGGCCTTAACCCCTGACACCAGGGCCTGTGTTCGTATTCCACTGGGCTTACATGTTGGATCCTTGTGCTTGGAGATGTTCTATAGGCTCTAGCTTGAAGGTACGTACTGTAGAGCCAGTGGTGGTTTCCACCATTGACAACCAGGTCTGCGTAAAGCATTATGATACAAATAAAAGGTTCACTTCATGAAAGTGGTGAGCAAGCGTCTGAATTCCATATCACAAGTTCAACGATCCCTCTGTCCTATGAAAGAGAGTTACTTATTCCCTAATAATTTCAACTCTTAATAACGAATCAGTATTCAGCTGGAATCTTCATGTTCAAGTGTATCCACACCTTCAAACATTTATATGACATGCATATGTTCTAAATATTGAATCCTAGATTAACTATAATCCCAGGCCCCATGTGGCAACATGATATTGAAAATATGTTCTACGTTGAATTACAGGTGATCCTTCCCGGTTTACAATTTCTAATCTAATCGGGGATCATCAAATAATTTAAGTATCACAGCAGTATATGAAGCCCTGTATGATACGTATTGGCAATACTAGCCAGCGCAAGTATATTGTAAAATAACATTTGTAACGTAATAATTAGCAGTTGAGTAGCTTCTAGTGTGTATATATTCGAGTATAGTCGTAGATTTTAGTCAATGTATGTATAAGAGGACTTCCACTTTCATGGTAACTGATACTACGTCGTAGACTCGTAGTGCAATTCGACAGCTGATATTTGAGTCTATATACATCGATACTAGACAGCACCAGATTGTCGATCAAACGTACTATTTTTTTTATTTAAAACTCTCTGCGCTACAGGTTTATGTAGTAAGTGTTACTTGTGTAATCTAGTGCAATCACACCTAGTACTGTAACCTGTTGTACTAATAGTGTAACTTGAATAATTAGGCTGGACTGCGGATTCCTGGTACTGCCGTCTACGATTATATATGCACCTACAATATCCATCATGAAATTTATCCACCTCGATTATAATTAACAAACGAATTATCATGATCTTATTTACCACACAGTCACAGAGCTACTAAACAAGATTGGTTGAATAAAGCTGTATCTCCTGAAATCACCATTTTCTTCTAAATTCATGTTCTTCCCAGACAGTAGTTCGTGTTTCATGAATTAGCTTTGACAATTAAATTTGAACCATGGAGCCAGCGGCCCAGGTTATTGGTGAAGGCATCATGATGCACACGTATGCACTTCAATCCCTGTTGCATTGTTCCTTGAATTCGCGGCATGCCAGATCAGGCCGCAAAGTTGGCCAACTGATCAATATTATAATCTTACTAGATCATAGTACGTGTAGAGCTAATTTACTCTTTACTGATCATATAACTTATATAATTGATTATCGTATTATCTGGTCGTATAACATGAATATTATATTTTTTTTTAGTTGATGTATTTGATGCAGATCAACTTGGATGAGAAATGCAATTACGCACGAACCGCTTGGATTGTAGGCTTCTGATCGCTATAATATTGTTGGAATAATTCAGGCTTCATAATATTAATATCCTTATAAATATTTAATATTCTCGAGTACGTACAGCTGAATAATATTTGGAACAATAGTATAGTAATTAATTTGTGCCGGAAATCACCAAGATGTTCCTAAATATATTAATATAATTAATTAATTATAATGCTGTACTTATAATTTTGATCTTGACTAGATCGAATTATATTAAATTAATGCCGAATTAATAATATATTATATATATATGATCAATTAATATAATATGTCGAACTAGCAGCTGTCCAATTATATAAATATATCTTGTTTGCATGTTAATTATATAACGTACTACTCAATATGTATTATATTATAATAATTTTAATGTATATATTTAATCTGATATTGTGTATTTTATTATATAATTATATATAATGCCAATTAAATAATGTACATGATGAAATTAAATTACTCACTGGCCAGCTGGGACTCAATCAGCGCCTAGTTAATATAATATGACTGATTTATAATAATTAACGGGATAAATTAATCAGAATAAAATATAACAAGTAAGATCAATGAACTAAAAAAGCTGGCCATTGTTATAATTGGAGCAATTGTAAAATTTGTGGAAATCACCAAGATATTCCTAATACTTTTCTTGATGAAGTCCTAATGGTTTGTTAATTACTTGATTCCAAGGTGACTGAACCACTAGCTTAAAGGAGCTGAGCATGAATGCTTGATGAACCTGGAAATAGAAGTAAAAAATGGGATAGGAATTGAAAAAAGAATTGTTGATCAATCAACATATGGGTTGGCTAACGTCTAACTATTTAAAAAATTAGAATAATAATATTAATATCAAATATGATATTGTACCTACTAGTTTTGACCTGAAAATGTAGGAACAGGGTGCTGACGGCTGGCCCCAATCGGCCGTGAATCTAAGGATATACTCATCCAAGATTCTACGTAGTTAAATATCTACAACCAGCTTCACCTCGACTGGTAGTCTGTAGACTAATCTTAGCTCCAGCATAAACCTGGTCTGTTTTGCATTTTCCAGTGTGTCCACTACCGCACAAACTTACATAAGCGAGCGTTAAAATCAGAAGCGAAAAAACTTTTTACAGGGATTGAGCGAGAAGGTTGAAGGCTGAATTAACAATGAATTTCTATTGAATTTACGAGAATGCATCCCTGGGAAGGTGAAGAGATGAGTATCTCTGATTACTGAAGCTGTTATTGAATGGATAAGTGTCTATGTTGAGTGCTGTTAATGTTTGGTCAGTCTTAGGTTATTGTTTTGTTTGTCTCCGCCACCAATTCATCATGATGTGTCAACTGCTAAGTTTTTTCCTCCAAGATTTGTACGATCTAGAGTTTGAGAACTGAGATTAGCACCGACAGATTCGTTAGATTCAGTTGAATCTATTACAGGGATCGGATGATACGTTTTGACATGTTCGAGATTTACCTTCTCAAGATTACGACGTGATGCCTAAACTTTAGTCGAATCTTGGTCCAACGTTGAACATCCTCCAGAACTCAGAACACAGGCTTATTGAGAAGTCATATCACACACACAAAGTCACACACCATTTTTTTTGAGTTTAGTTTGTGGAACAGGGTTTATCCCCCAGTTTTTTTTTCAAGGATGAGAAAAATTTACGTGGCGCCATCTATTGTTCCTCACTGTACATTAGTTTTATTTCAAATACCCTGGGCTCTCGTTTCGAGTGAAAGACATGCATGCATATCTTCTGCGCATATGAATGATAAAGCAGGCCATATAGTCCATCGAGAAGCGAAATATGTACAGGTGTGGTGCTATTGGCTGGGATCTGAATCTATTTTAACAATTTTTGCTGGTTAAATCTTCAAATCTTGTCATTTTAATTTTGGTAAAATGGACCTAGAACACTCAAGGAATATGAAACAAGCTGATTTATACACCCCTCTCCTGCAAGCTATATTTTACTCATGCTCCATAGATTGGGAGAATACGTCTGTTAAGGTTTTATTTCGTTAACAGTCAAGGTTCAGCATTCAAGGCAACATCATGCTGACTGTGTGTCTGGGATATTTGCATTACTGATGAAGCATGTCACATCTCTCATATTAATTTCAAATCTCCTTCCTTTCAAATGATCATTCATATATATTATCAACACCATCCTATTTTTTCTTCTATACTATTAGAGATTCAATCTCTTATTAGTTCAATATCCATAAATCAACAAAGAAAGGTTTCAACTCCTGTGATCATTTAAAAGAACTCGCTACATTAGCCAATTTTAGTTAGGTCCGAGCTCATTTTGAATCACCATGAGATTCATCAATCTTTTTGTCTCTATTTTTCTTTGGGGGTTACTTCAACTACAGGGTGTTGCTGGTCAATCTACTGCTTCAACAGTTTCTGGTATAGCTACTGTTTCGTCTAATTTAGTTAGACAGACAACATTATCTTCGGCATGTGCCTACAGTTCCCAAACTGGTGCTATTGATGGTAAAGGTTACAAGGCTACCTATGATATAACCGGTAAAACAACTGGTACTTTTTTGCGTTCCCGTGTTTTGACAATCACTTGGTTCTTCCAATTCGATCATCCAATTGATGCTAATGCCTTTGCTGTCACGAAATTGGGATTGGAAATATCAAATATTAAAGGTACTGTCAATGTTGCAGAAGGTTCATTCATTGTTTCTTATGATGTTACAATTCCATATTTGACTTTCATTACTTCCATTCCAAGTTACTGTCTTTTAGATTATGTGTCATTCCAATTCACTGTCCCACAAAATAAAGATAACACCGAAACAAGTTATTATGCCTTTTACGTTGGTACGGCTGGTGCAGTGGTCTCCACTATATTGAGTCAGGCAGTTTGTGGTGTAACAACTTTGGGCAACTGTCCTGTTTATACTAGTGGTTTTAATTTTGATTGTTCGGGTTTAGGTTCATTTTTAGACTGTGATGATACTGCAACAATCACAAACAGTTACTCTGCAGCTCCAATTACTGTTCCAAGCCCATACACCACTACCTATACAAACTCTGATGGAAAATCATTAACAGGTGTGGTCAGTTATTACACAACAACAGGACCAAATGGAAGACCAGCTACTGGTACCACAACATCTGTTCGTACTGTTCCAAGTCCAGTTACAACCACATACACTAATGCAGCTGGTCAAAGTGTTAGTGGTCTAGTTAGTTATTTCCCAACAACTAATTCCAACGGTCAATTTGCAACTGGTGCTACTACTATTCCATTTACTGTTCCAAGTCCAGTTACAACTACTTATACCAACGCAGCTGGTCAAAGTATTAGTGGTCTAGTTAGTTATTTCCCAACAACTAATTCCAACGGTCAATTTGCAACTGGTGCTACTACCATTCCATTCACTGTTCCAAGTCCAATCGCTACTTCGTTCACTTCGG